TAATATGATGGCGATTTTACTTAGAAATATACAGTGATGCCTGATGTTGAAGAAAATCTTGGGTACCGATAATTTGTTCTAAGTCATTTTTAAGACTTTTAATTGGATAAATTTTAATCTTATAGAGAATAGTCACATATTTTACTAAAAAATTAAATAACCTACCACAATGTCATATTATGATTTACTCACATTGACTTATGCCTTAACAAACTGATGTGGTTGATCTTAACTTCACATTTATCTATCTACATTCTCAATTGTTTGGTATTTTACAGTTGTTAATGAATGTTCAGTGGAGGAATGCATGAACAAATAAATGAACAGGATATCAAATATTTGAGCAACACTCATACTCATGAAGGTGCAAAGAGCCTAAGTCAATGAAGGAAACAACAACAAAAAAATCATACCATCATCAAGGGCAGGATGAAAGGTAATACTTTCTCCATCTCACCCCATGTGTGGATCACAGGGGAACCTGGGGTGGTCAGAGAGTCAGCATTTCTGACAAGCTCTCAACCTGAAGGTTCCACAGGGAGCACCCTTTAAACAAAAAGGGTTTAGTTGATTGTCTTATGTATGTGCTCCCTGCTAATAACAGATGCATGAGAGAATGCCAACAGCTCAGACTAACTCAATATTCTCTGAATTTCAAAATACACTGCAGGTTCAACTATGCAAATAGAGAAGACACCCCTAAATTGGTATCAGAGAGGAGTGAACCATTTATGCAATGTTCCAAGCTGTGGAACCCATTTCTAAGGCTCTAGTTTATTAAGAATCTGGTTTAATGACAATTGTAATATATTATTTACCTCTAGTGTCATTTTATATAGCTATAATTGCTTTCACATCCCAATGTGCCACTCAGCTGCTAAGTATCTGTCACTTGCCTCTCAGAGTGACATATATCATTTACTTCCTCAGACCCCCTTTGCTCCATTTAATTTTTTATTGAATTGCTATTAAACTTCACCAGGGGCAATTACTTCTTTTCTTTGGCTATCTTATTCATTTTATTTTAAACTCTTTAGGTTCTCTGTTCTCCATTCACATATAATTCTGACATACTTCATTAGTTTGGAAAAGTTGTGAGAAGTGACAGAAAGCACAGAGCAGTGCTAAGATTTGTGAAGAAATATTTCATTAACTCTCTAAAGGCAGGTGATAGTCTACATTTTTAACTTACTGCACATAGGAAAACAAGTCCTCCAACAACACCCATGAAGAAGCTAACACTACTGAGATATAAGAATAGGGGTTTTCTATGTCTTATCTCATCTCATCTTATCTTATCTTATCTTAAAAGATAAGCCTTGCAGATGAGATATTGGATAACAAAGACAGTGGTTACCTTGCACATGCACCCAACTGAGTCCATACAGGGAGCAGTTGCATCAGGCTTATTGGACTGGCACAGATGGAAGGTCTACAAAGATAGTAAATATTACATATGAAGTGAAACATGTGAGGAGAACTTCCAGAAGATGGTTCTTTCCAGAGTTGGCAAATACACAACAAACGTAGTGAAGATTGAATAATCTCTTCCCAAGAATTCCTTTAGGGTAAAGTCTAAGGCCTAAAGTGGCATGTGAGACTTTGCTCTGATCTCTGCACACAGGTGCAATGTGTGACCTTGACCTGGCCTTACACACACCTTCACTTTCATCCCTGACAAAGCATTTGTGTTGGTCCAGGTATAGCTGGTATGTTTATTCCTCCATTGCACACAGATCTGAAATAGCCTTCCTTTTTGATCTGCGGGGTAGCTTTACACTTTCTTGAAAATACCTTCTGAAAATCACTAATCTGCGATGCTTTCTCCAAGGACCTCAGGGAACATCAACTACTTCCTCTCTTTTTGCTAGCATCTTGCATATGTAATTACCCAAGTTCTTACAACAGTGTATGTCTGTCTCAGGATGTTATTTCTGTTGGTATTTCTAGAACCTTGAACATTCATTCAGTGCTCACTGAATACTCATGAATGAATTTAATCAATGTGTGTAAAAATTACCATTATTACTAATCATTAATTTGAGATTATCTTTTGAATTTAGGATTCCCTACTTTCATTTCCCTCAGGGTGACTCCTTGAAAGCATGGGTTCCAAGGTTACCTCACCAGTATAGACCCTCACAGATCACAGCTAAACTGCACTCAGTCTTTCCCTGTGGCCAATCCTATGCATAATTTTGAAGATAACCTTCCCTGGATACTTATTCCTGTCTAAAATGGTACAGCGATCTTTATTGCCTGTTTGATCAAATATTAACTTAATATTTCATTGCAAGCTTCTTCCCGTATCATGTCCTCCACAGACGCTATTAATGAGCTCAGATATGAGGTATTTTCTTTGACAAACAGGTTGCTTACCCTGAGAAATCCCTCCTTACTGATGGCCCTGCACTCACTTCCTAATCAGGTCTCCTAATATTCTGACTCATTTAGCAAGGACTGCAGCTTTTAAAACTGTTTCCTCATCTACATCTCATGTGAATGTGTTTTGTTCCCCTCTCTTCCATACTATTTCAAGGGTTAGGAAAAGAGTATAAACTTTTCTTTTTTCTGTACCCTTTCTCTTATTTTGCACTTTGCTAGATGTATATACTTTTTTGTATCTCTTCACTCTCTCATTTTTCACTTGATTTATTAACAAATGCTCTGCCCACATTTTGTTACTTTCTGTACACAGGGAACCATATAATTTTTGTATAAAGACCTTGTTCTCTGTGTTGCCTTCTAATTGTTTCTCCTTGTAAGTGTCCACCTGAGAGTTGTAAAACTTCAGGGGAGAAATGGATTTCTATATGGAAAATCACTGGAGTGTAGTGGGAATGTACTGACTGACCTAGTAGTCAGAAAATTCAGGACTCAGTCCTGCCCCATGAATGGTTTGTTGGATATTATCTTTTATGACCATCGTTTTCTCCATCTATGAAACAAAAAAATAAAACATGGATGTTGTGAGAATTAAAGGAGTTACAGTGTGTGGGAACGTTCCGTGAATTTTAATATGCTAATATAGATAGGGTATTTCTTCTTATTAAGGGTTCACTTTTCTTTTGTGGATAGGATCTGCTGTGCAGCGTAGATTGTCAGGAAAGGCTCCCCTAGAGTCTTGGTCAAACTTGGTTGGTCATATTTCCTACAGTTTTTAAAGTCTTAGCTGCAAAGTCCCATTCCTCATCTTCTTTTGTGTTCCTCTTTGGGACAGAACTTTCCTTGCGATGCAACTGCTGACAGTGTTTTTCAACGTTTTCCACCTACTTACCAAACATGCCCTCTGGCAGCCCTAAATCTGCTTTACCAGCTCTCCATGACACGAGCTTGGTCAGCTCTCCGTTCTGTCGCACCTAGGTCCCTGTCATACCTGGAGCCCTCTTTATTCTCTATCATGCCCGCACTTCCAGGGAGCTCCGCTTCCCCTCTGCTGGTTCCAAGGAGAAACATCCTTACTGGCCTGCCCCTAAACACATGCCTGCAGCCGCTCTTACCCCGATCCTCCAGCCAAATCCTCACCTGCCAAGTGCTGCTGGGTGCTGCCACCATCCACAGCCTCTCACCGCTGCATCTCCAGGCCTCTTGGCTGCCCGTGAATTCCCTGCCGAGATCGCGTCCTTCCCGCCAGCGACACCTCCCCACCCCCGAGGCAACCCTTCCCTGTGAACCCAAACCCAGGGGAGATCTCCTGCAGCAGCACCGTTCCGCCAAATCCTGTAGCCCCACCCCCAGCGGCAGCCTCCTAGCCAGCCATCACAACCCCCAAACCCACTCCGCCAGCGCCTTAGTTCCGGCTGTCCCTTAGTTCCGGCTGCCCTTTCCTCCCTCCCAGCCAGCCCTGCGCCCACCCCTCTCCAGCGCGGTAGCACCTAGGAACACCCTTCCTGTATTCTAAGGCGCAGGCTTGTTTAACCTACGGGAGGCCTTTGAAAGTGAGCATTTTCTCCCTGCCTCTGTGTTCTACTAGATCTCAGCCCCCAACCCTTTGCACATTCCCCGAGTTGCAGGGTCGGGACGTGGCAATACGGGAGGGAACTTGGCGTGGGGTGGGAGGGACAGGCCACGGGCTAGGTCGGTGGAGCCCAGCAAAGTTTGAACGCCAGGACTTGCATCTCCGGGTCCCCAAGCTTGGTCACTCAAACCCCCTTCCTGCGTTTCCCCTTGCCCAGCGCCCCCATCTTCTGGATGGGGGACAGGGTCACCTCCAGGACTAGGCGGGGCCACTCTCCCTCGCGCTAGTATTCTCGGGTAGCGTGTGAGCAAGGCTTCTAAGGGCTCTGGGTCTGGGCGAGGTCTGGGCGAGGTGACTAGCTTGGCCGCAATGTATAGGGGTGGGGAATCTGTGTAAGACTTTTCCCCAACCACGGCCCTAGTCGCCTCCAGGGCGAGATGCAGTGGCGGCTCTTCTTCCTTCGTCTCCTTAGAAGCGCGTTCGCCTGGCTGTGTGTGTACTGCTGTGCCGATGTGTGTGGGTGTGCGCCCGCGGATGTGTGGGCACGTGCGTGTGTGTGCGTACGCCTGGCTGTGTGCAGATTGTGTGCTCGAGTGTGTGTGCAGATGTATATGTATGGAGATGTATGTGTGTGCCAGCGTGTGGTTGTGTATGCGCGCGCGCGTCTCCGCCCCGGCCTGGCGCCAGCGGACCCAGAGGAAGGCAGGAAGGAGGAGTTATGTAGATTACGGATGAACGTTCTGGAGGGACGTGAGCCTACGCGGCCCTTCCGCAGGAGCCCAGCTTGAGGCGGAGCAGACCACGCGCTGGGCAGACGCCCGGGTGGGACGCTACGCGGGGTCGGGCGGGGCACTGGGCGACGATGGTGACCGCTGGCCGCTGCTGACCTGACTGCGCTGCTCCTGCTGCAGAGCGTGGCCCAGCCCCGGCCAGCGGCCGTGAACCTGCGGGCTCCTTCCCACCAGTACTTTGGAAAGGAAGCAGGAGAGAGGGAGGGGGGACGGCGCCGGGAACTCGTGCGTCTGCTGGAGCCCAGTCCACTATGATTCTACTCGCTCTCGGCTCTGGAAGACGGCTGGATTTCGTGCATCACACGGGGGCGGTTTTTTTGCAAACCTTCCTTTGGATTTTATGTGCTGCTGTCTGCGGAACGGAGCAGTATTTCAATGTGGAGGTAAGGGTACCGCTCTGGTCGTCTTTCCCTGGCTGGGCCGCTCCTGACACGCTTGATTCTCCCGAGTCCGGGCTGCCCATAGTCTTCTCCAGCCAGATGAGTTGCTCTTCTCCACCTCGGTGATGGATGCGCGCAGACCAGACCAAGTCCGTTATCTCCGCGGCACAAAGGATGCTTCGTGCTCGGCTGCGGCGGTGCATCCCGCTGCTACCGGGAGAGGCCGGCCTGGGGCTCAGGGAGTTCAGGGTGACATCAACTGCTCCAGAGTCACAGGACCCAGGACTGGCTGTCTAGCATCCCTGCTGCGTGGGCATTGTTCCGGGGACCTTTCTCCCATTCCGCGTCTAACAAAGGAGGTTAAAATCTGAATCTGGAGGCCTGGGGGATACTTGCTGTGTTTAATCTCATGCTGCTTTGTCACCCAACACTTGACCAGTCTTTTTCTCATTTAGATCTAAATTAATGCAGGGGAACGGGAGCTAGCGACACAGGAGTAAGTGGAATCAGCTCTTTCTAAGTGTCCTTCTCCCCTCCCCCGCCTCGAATATCAACGTGGCCCAATGTAATAGTTCTGAGGTGTGTTTTTAATTTGATTTCATACTCTTGTGGCAAAACGGGGAGGTTTTAGACTGTCATTGGTTTTGCTTTGATAGCTCTGGAAACGGACACAAAGTGGAAGGGAATTTAGGGGTAAGGACTAGCCAGACCTCTGCAGAAGTGGCCCTGTTGCCATCAGCTCTGAACCAAAGCCAGTGAGGAACCTGTGTCCACCTGGGCTCTGACCCAGGTTTATCACACACTGTGAGGAAGGCAGCAAGAGGGTCTTGTAAAAAATATGTCTTTTCATTAGGTCTCTGTCTTTTGACATCTCAGAAAAATTAAGACTAAGTCTGAAGAATCATTGATTTTGTTATCGTAAGTTGTTGATCCTTCAAAGCATTCTGTTGGGAGTGTGTTTGCACAATAGCAGTACCTGTTGCAGTATGTGAACACGGTCCACTTCATGTAACATATTTACATACAAAGCGTGCCTAAGTGCCATGTGAAAGGGCACACACTAATATTATTTCTCTGTGTTTACAGAAACAGTTTTCAGGGTTCCATGTCAAAAGTGCGGGTTGGTAGAGAAACAAAGCATTTGAAAAAGTAGCAACCATTTTGGAACGACTTAAAGAAGTTTACAGATGTTAAGGATGATTATATTATTCAAAAACCCCAGTTTGAAAACCAAAGTTGTTTAACCCTTTGAAAAATGCCACTATTTTTCTCGATAGGAAGAGAGATGGAAAAGGGATGAATGTCCAGACTGTTCTTGATGGCAAATTTGAGCTGGTGGAATTACATTATACACCACAGATGGATATTTGTACCTAATACTTAAGTCAAGAGATAATGTAATGTTGAAATGAAGATGTAATTAGTTCATAGACTGCAGGATGAAAGTGGCAGTCTGTCATTTATAGTGCTATAAACAGACAGTGCTGATGGTGATGGGGGTGAAGTGGGCACAAGCAAGTGCTAGGTTTTCTCTTGCTTACTGTGGCCTGAGAGGCCTGCCTGCTTGGAGGCTGAAATTTGTTTCCAGACATCCTTGGGGTAGCATCAATGTTTTCGGGCTAAACATATATTTGATTGTATTCCTTTATAGTTTGAATAACTTAGTTCAATCAGATATTATTATACAAGAAAAAGTTGTTATTTTACCCCCCAAATTTTAATTTTAAATTCGATGATAGTTTCTTTTTTTAAAGGTATATGTGAAAAAAATGGTTTATGGAAAAATTAGCTCTTTTCCCATTTTTAAAGTATGTAAGTTATTCCATCCATATTTTTATACAATGTAAAGATTTAATTATGAAAGTTGAGGCATGTGTCATCTGACACCTTAAAAAGCTTTTCTAATGGAAGTTTTGTAATGATTTAGAGTAGATTATGTTTCATTATATTTTTCTTAAGCAGTTATCTTTAAAGAACTTGACCATATCCTTAGTTGGGTTAATATACTTCCTGGTATAAATGACAACCTCTCTTTTTTCTGATCATAAATGTAGGTTTTGGTTAATTCACCATACTGTAAAGAATGGGGGATGATAGGATATTCTCTGACATGAATTTCTGACTAATTCACTTTCATTAGATGCTTCTTTTTGGTAGGAAACACTAATAAGAAACATAGACCATTACATTCTTCTTTAGAAAAGGCACTTAGATTGTGTTCCTTGTTCTTCGTTGCAAAGCCTGCACTGGCAGTGCTTCATTTGATTGATTGTCAAGGACAGTCTTAAACAGTAATGGTATCAATCATACATGAAGTTCATATGATCATAATTTTTTCTAGCAAGCATGCTAAGTTGTTACAGTTGGAAGGAAGCTCTGAGAGATGCTTTTTCTGCTGACCACTGAGATGATGATGCTTTATTTCTCACCCAGCTTCACAAATTGGTGGGATTCCCATCCTTTTCATCTCTATAACTTAAGATTTAAAAACCTGTTTGTTCTCCTGGAGGTCAGGGATTGGGTAGAGGTAGTCATGTTTTTTCCTGTCTAAATTTTAAGAGTATGAACATTCAGAATTGTCCATCATCAGACCAGAAGACATTTTTTAACATGTGGATGAAAACCTGTTACAGAGAGAGTGTGTTTTGTTATTTTGTTTGTTCTTGTTTTTAAGAAGCAAAAGTAACATGCACAGTTCAGGAAGGGTCAGACTCTGCAGGAGATGCAGTTCACCCCCACCTCACTTATTGCAGGCAGGCCGTTGTGAATGCCACATTTCCAGTGCACATCTGTTTACAGGGTTTTATATGTTGAGGAGTATGACTTCAGCATGTAAGAAGTAGTGGGTACACAGGAGGACATCGCTGGTAGTGACTGCAAGGCATGCTGCTGTCACTGGACAGCACTCGCATCACAGCTGATCATTGGTCAGGGAGGACAGTGTGTTGGCAAAGAATCATGATTTAAGCCCTAACAAATCATTTTGTCTCTATAATAGTTTTCTTGTTACGATTTTTATGATCCTGGGCTGGCTGGCTGGCTCACTTTCCTTCTTTCTTCCTTCTTTTCTTTCTCGTATACTGCAGACATTTTTGTGGTGAAATTTGAAACTATAGTTCATGATAGTAATAACTTTCATCTTCAACTTTGATAGTTTGTAAAATGTTAAATAAATGAACCACGTATTTTAAGGTTTTTAAAACAACAGCACACATTTCTAGTGAGAAAAATTATTTTAGCCAGATTTAATGGTAAAATAACATAATTCTCTGAATAATGCACTTACCAAAGCATAGGAAGATGATGACTTTTTTGTGACAAAAATCTTAATAAAGGAAAAATGATTTTGTTGTTTTTAATAAAAGAAGAGAGATTCTAGATTTCAAAAAGATATTTTATGACAAGCACTATAAATTATGAGTGTAACCATTTCCTACATTTTTCTTGCCGTGTGTGTGTGTGTGTGTGTATATATATACACATATATATATATATATATAAACTGATATATATATCAATTAAGATAGATTTAGTATTTATTTACTTTTGTCTGGTTCATCTGAGTCTACCTGAAGGTTAGTGTTTGCTTAGAGTAGCTCTGTGCTGCATGTAAATCTGACAATAAAACATTCCAGAGAGAAAAATTTATACTTTGCAGATTTTAAAATGTCATATGTTAGGAACACTTTTTTCATATATCTTGTTTCCTCCTTGTGCCTGTGATCAACATTATTTCATTTGCTCATGGAATCATGGTTTCCCCAGGATCTGATTAGCCTCCTTGAGTAAGGGACACTCTGACTATATCCCATAGTTTATGCTTGTCAATGACAGGGCCTATGCGAGTGATTCGTAAAGGTTTCTATGTGCTGCCAGACCCCAGGCTTTTCTAGACACCCACAGTATGTGTTCAGATGCACATAGGGCCAAGGACGCTGACCAGGAGATCGGGAGGCTCTGTGGTCCTCAGTTCCGGACGTCTCTTGTGTGATCCTCCTGAACTTTTTGGCTGTTTAGGGCCTGGTCAAGATGCCCACATTTGGGTCATTCATGAGGCCCATGTAAGGGGAATAGATGCTAGTGAGGCAGGTTGTCTTCCTATCCCCATGAGAAATCCACAAAGAGTCTGCCGAGTTCAACCTGTCTATACAGCTGGGTTTTCTCTGTTAGTCTCCTTTTCCTCTCATGGAAGGATAGAGTTGGCTTCAATAATAACATTTTTTTAAGTTTTTTTTTTAATTTTTGATTTTAGAGAGAGGGGAAGGGAGGGAGAGAGAGAAGGAGAGAATCATCGATATGAGAGAGAAACATTGATTGGTTGGTTGCCTTTTGTACGTGCCCCAACCAGGGACCAAAACTGCAACCCAGGCATGTGCGCTGACTACGGATTGAACCTTCAACCTTTCAGTTCTTGGGACAGTGCCCAACCAACTGTGCCACACAGGCCTTGTCTTTTTTTTTCTTTCCTTCTTTCTTTTTTTTCTTTTTTTAATCTCTGGAGTCAGGTTGAAAGCAACAGATCTAAAGTTTCTACTTCTGCTTATTCATGTTATTTTAGGATTATTAACTAGAAAATTTTAATGCACCTGTTCAGTGGTATACTTATTTTCTTTGAAGTTGGCGTAATCAATTATTTCATGTAAATTTATTTCATTGCCTACTCTAAGTGTACCTGCTTACAATACTTGATAAATGACCAACTGCAATTATTTGGGGACCAAAAAAGCCATTGAACATTTGAATCAATTAGTTATATTTATTCAATGTCAAAAGAGAAATATTTTTTTCATGCTCATTCAGAAACTTTCTGATCCTTCAGCATGTAATTTCAAAATGAGAAAGTCATGTTTTATGTTACTTTCCATCACAATTTATTTTAAAATCAGTGAATGCAATTATATCCTTTACATTTCTAATTGTGGAGTAGTATAGGGATTAAGAGCAGTAATCTCAGCTTTTCTACTTACAAGTAAATTATTTACAATGAAGAAGTTCATTAATAT